CGTGACTGACTGAATCTCTATGATAAGCCACTCCCTTATTGGTCTATTGATGTTACAGTTACAAGTTACCTTGTACAAAAGCAAATTGTCTGTCATTAATCTTTATCTGTTAACCTTATTGGAATGAAGCAATTTTCCCACTTTGCTTTTTCCATTAAACAAGATCAAACAAGATATAATGTGTTATTTAGTGAGCTCTTGAGGCGCTGGTAGACAGAGCCAGGCAAACCGCTTCCCACTGTTACCAGACTTTGTGCTAAGCTAAGCTAACCTCATGTGGCTTCAGATTTACCATGCAGACATTATAGTGTTATCAGTCTTCTCATTTAACTCTTGGTAATAACTAAATAAGCGTATTTCCCAAACTGTTGAACAATTCCTTAAATTAATGAAAACAAATCATTTCACAATATTCATAGTGAGTGTTTCTTGTGGCACTGAATCCATGTCTATATAATTATATATGAAAAATTCATATTGACATGTAAAAGTGTAAAACCTCCTTAAATTCTGCTACTCTCCCTCCCATTTACACTCCCATTCTTTCCCTCCCCTGCAGCCTCTATTGTGCGTCCACTTTGCATGCTGCATTGGTTTATGCAGTGCTGCCAAACTTTGGCGTGCTGGCCACAAAGCGACTTTCATCTAATCCAGATCTGGATAAAACAAGAAAACTAATCTCCGAAATTGTCTATGATGATACATTTCAAAAATCAGCTGTGTGTTTTGTGCATTTGTTGCCAGAAACAACTGACACAGATAAAAAGGAAGAGCTGACTGGAAATCAAGCTCTTTGCTCTCCCTGTTTGGGAATGTAAACATCACACTTTTTGATCTAAGAACATATTTTACTGAAAAAGGCAACGATATTGTTTCTCTTAATTGAGAGAGCTTGACAAAGGCAGAACAAAGCAGAGAAACAGACAGAAAGGAGGAGTAAGGCGTAAGGACACAGAAGGTCGTGCTGTAAGTGAGGGAAAATGAATGATTGCCCCGCCCTTCAGCTAAGTGTGGGGAGAAAATGAAACAATGAGCTGAGAAAGCTCATGTTTCTGCTACTGAAATAGATGGTGGTTACGGATTTCACTCCACACTTTGTGGAAAGGATGGGTGTGTGTTTTTGCACTTTAGCTGGGGATACTAACTGATTTGGGGTATTACTCCTGTAACTCAACTCAACTACTCTCCGGTTGTCAATGTTGTCAACCAAGCAAAACGCAATGGAGAGAATTTATTCATTATTAATGTAGAGTAATATAAGTATATGTCTTGTTTTTTTGTTTTTTTTTCGGGATTTGTCAGTGAGCATGCACATATTGATTGGGTAACACTGTTTATGGATTGTAAAATTAGCAACAACACATTCATTCCTGCAGGACTATTTTGAGTGATAATGATAATGTGCTCCTGGAGTAATCCCACTGGGATCGCAGAACCATTGAAAATGGCCGACATTATGCAGGCTAAGTAAGATTTCTGTCTGCAGCCATTGCTAAACCAAGATGTAGAGGAAAAGAGGGGAGGGGGGGGAAAGACAAGAATCACAACATGATTCTTGGATATAACGGGTTGTTGTGGAAAACAAACAGCACATGTCCATCTCTGTGAACTGTGGTTTTATTTTAAGAAACCTCGTCCAGAGACTCTGGCCTGACCCCCCAAACACAAAGACACTTCCTGTCTGATTTGTAAAGAGAAAGGCTGCATGTCCCTAGAGGAACGAGCTCGAGTTCAAAACATGAACTACTGACTATATAAGGAGCTTATGGACTTTATCACCACAATACAGATCATACATACAACTTCGCTTGTAAACAAATGTCAGTCACACCATGGTAGGGAGTACTTTTGGAGGAGAAAAAAAACAAGAAAAGGAAAGAGAAGAATAAATGCAAAGTTATAACACATGTGCACACTTGTGAGCTGCCTGGCCTTCATTGTGAATGAGTGGGAACTCCAGTAACTCATCCACCATTCACATGCTGCTACAGCCTTTTAAATAGATTAGCAGAGGCTTTGTCTCACCCTGCTCGTTTCACCGTCTCTTTTCTCTCCTCTAAACACCATGCACTTTAGGCTCAGTATTAGCCTGTAAGAGAGGCAACGAGGAAGGGGATGGGGTTGCCATGACGATGCCAACTTAACGAACTGTGTCTCTCTCTTCGTGATTGTGGGTTTAATTGGATATCATTGAGGAGAAGAACAAATACGTAGCTGAGTGCTGTGACATGAATGCAGTGCAGCTCTGTCAGCCGTCTGCCGGTCTTAATGTAATACTCGCTCTCTGTCCTTATGTAGTTATGAATGATTAATGGCGATTATAGAAGTGCTGTAGTACATGAAGGGCATGGTGAGTGTTACAGAGAGCATGTAGTTCATTGAGGGATAGAGAAGGGACTTCCTGAGTCACTTGGCATAAATAAATAACCTATAATAATAAAAGTACTTACGTCTCCAGTCTCGCAGGCTTTCAAATAAGTGAAATGTTTTATCTATTCATTGACAATTCATTGCAGTTAAAAAATAATCATTAAACTCCCTGCTCTCAGATGTAATCTTACTGTGGCCAAAAGAGTGTTTTTGCTCAGCCAGCTTTTCTTTAACATTTGATGGAATCCTTTTTGCAGTCATGATGTGCAGGCTCAAAAAACCCTGGGATACACCATCAATTGTTAAATAATTTAATATGCCCATCCCTTGCAGGCACACACACACACATACACACACACACACACACACACACATACATAAACAAACAAAATGCGCTGAGTCACTCAGTAAAATGTATTGCTTCAGAGCAAAATGCTGAAGGTTTTGACACAATCTCTTTTAAAACAAAAGCCCAAACAAAAAGCACAATTACAGTAAAGCAGAGTATTGCTGTGATGGTCAAACACAGGTTCTATTACCACTGGGACAAAAGCACTAAAAATGCATGCAACTGCAAGGAACAAAAAGGTGTGTGAGTGCTGCAAAAAGCAGAAAAGTCTTCCTCCATTTTGCCCCTCTTCCTCCCCCTACTCAGACTTAAAAAGAGCTCTGACGTAATAACTGGATCCTGGTCTGTCAGGGGGGCACCTGAAGGTCTTTACTGTTTAGTGCTCCCCTGCCTCTGCTCTTCATTCTTCTTCGTCTCTCCTCTCGGCTCCCTATCTCTGCAGTCATTCACTGGAGTATAGCCTGTTCATAGCATTCGTAGCATGTGCTGATGGATCAAAGACTTCCACGTACACAGCGGCCAATTAAATTAAAATTAGGTTCTCTAGGGCGTCTTGCTTTCTATCCAACTTAGAATCCAACTTGTAATTTATCTGACCAATATTATGCATGACATTTTTTTTTACTGTGCATCCTCATCCCTGAGCTGATGCTCTTCATGATAACCATTACTAAGGAGTACAGCGGTCACATAGAACCATGATAATGTTCCTATGAGAGAAGTTTTAGAAAAAAAATATGAGGAAAATAGTGTAGCCTTATTGTATACTCTACTGTACCATATATAAGGTGGATTGATATGTATAGTTTAATTGCCTAGCAGTATCTCTTTTTGGGTGTATTTGTATAAAAATTATACCCGACTAAATGTCCTTGTACCAGTGTCGCTATGAAAAATCCATCTACATTTAGATCTCTTTATAAAGTGATTCTTTCGCTGATTAAAAAAGCATATACCAACAATGACTTAGTGACAGCACACATCTTTCTGTCTCAATTCAAATACCTTTCCACTTTAGCACAGCACATACTTCTGAACATTTCTAATGTTGCAGGAACTTGCTGCCCTGAATTGACAACAGTGGAACGTTGCAAAGTCAGATGAGTTGTCATTGATTTGTAAGTGCTGCCCTCTATTGGCTACTGTGTCTTGTTGCAAACCTTATTAAAATAAAACATAACTAGATTATTTCAGTGAAAAAAATATATATAATTACAGAGCATGATCACAAATTCAGAAGAATGGTGAAGAGTTTATGGTTAGAAAAATGCATCATACTGAAAGTTCAAACCTAAAAATCTGTACATATAGTTTGATGAATTATGAATATGTCATAACATACACCTGTGTCTGGTCTACATTTTTAATGCTTTCTTAAATATTTCCTTCAACTGTTTTATTAAGGAAATAAAATGTATGTATTTACTAAACATTATCTAATTACGGTTCTGGGTGAAATCCCTGTAAACCACTAGGTGGGGCTGATAGATAGTGAAGAAGAAGAAAACGCTATTGTGTAACAATTCAGGCGACTAATAACTGTTTAATTGATAGCAAAAGTAATTTTCATACACAATCATAATTATCGTTCAACTTTAGATGCATTATCTTCATTGCAACTTCATGATGCAGTGCAATCAATATCATGCAAATGTGCAGTATTATTTTTACGTTTCTTTTGCTTCTTCTCTCACAGCCAACCTATGTACATTTGAAAAATATTCAAGAATGTAATGGCATGAAAATTAAAGCAACTACTCTTTACTGGCTAAATTAGGATACATTGGTGTCCTATGGTCTATTGACAAACTACCTCTTGTTGTGAAGCAAAACGTGTGGCTGTAGCCTATGTCCATTTACAGCTTGTAAAGTGTTTGCACAGTGTCAAAGGTGTGTCAGTGCAGTCACCATTTAGAAAGAGCTGTTCAACTCTTCCTTCTATGCAGCCGAAAGATACCAGTGAAGGTACATTCGTGCAAATGCAGGGCTCGCTGTTTAAGCAACCACCATTGGCCTGATTGTAGTCGTTGCCTCAAATGAATCCTGCCAAATGCCCCCTCTTACGTCATCGCCTTCATGTGTGGAATGCTATAAATGTGGGAGGGGTGGGGAAGAAATGCAACGCTATTCAGTTCAAATTCAATTTGCCCTGAAAGCTGTAACTCAAGCTCCCCCACCCATATACAAAACTGTATTGGCTGATGGACTTCCCTTTCTCCATGCGATAGGTCAAAATAGATAGTTATTACGGAGGGCTGGGCCGCCATCTCTTCACTTGCCACTTTCATCGTCGTAAGAGATACTCTGCTATCAAGATGGTTCACGTCCTACTCTACTAAATAGTAACCATTGTCCTCCTTTGGAGAGCGTACAACTATTAGAAAAAATGGATGAATAGGCACAGAAGAGGTTAGCCAGCACACAACAGGAGCAACCTTTTCGAGTAGCTCTGAAAACGAGACATTTTGTATGTCTGTTTAAAAGTTTTTGTCAGTGGAGTAGGCAGCTAAAACCTTAAAACCTCAGCCTAATTGAAATACAAATACATGTACCACACAGTAGTAAAAACGCCAAATGTGGGGAAGCTCTCTCCGACTCCCAGCTAAAAAATACGACGCTTTGTGTGCTTAACTGGCATTAGACGAAAGCGGAAGTGGTCAAGATGTAAATCTCGTCTCTGTTTTGTACTCTTTGCTGGATGAGTGTGGTGGATGACAGCCGTCTAGCACGTCGCAACAACAACAGCAGCAGCAGCAGCAGCCGTGTGTTTATCGTCGGAGCTGCAACTGAGGGGTAGTGAAGTGAACCGGAGGACGGAGACAGAAAGGATTTACGGACACCGATAAAGCATGGCTACCCAAACGACAGCATCATGTACTGGGTCCACTTTGTTGCAGCCAATCAGCGACATTATCAATCTCCCTCTTGACCAGGTATGTTTTTGGATGGAGAAAATATCGACACATGAACCGTCTGAGTTGATAATGTTTTACACATCATTTTTAAATAGTTAGCTAGCATATCTACATAAACCGTTAGCAGAGGCTGGTGATACGCAGCGCTATATTCTTCCTAAACGTTAGCGTAGCCTTTATACAATCCGTATTTATTGAACATGAGGGCACAACATGTTGGTGTTTCACTGTCACCGTCAGCAAGTCCCATGCCAAGCTAGACTACAGCTAGTTAATGCCTTTTGTCTCTCCCCTTTGATGGCTGGAGCCCAGTTTTTCCCAAACTGGCTTCCGATATGGCCCTAAAATAATACCACGATATTTCAGGTTTTTTTTCACCATAATGATATTCATGACGAAATGACAACAAACTGAAAAATATTTTGTCTTTAGAACTTAAACTGAAGAGCTAGGGACTCCTTCTAAATTACCCAACTGGGTGCTTCTGCTTGAGGTGGTGAAATAAGTTTGTTGTATTGCCCCCTTTTTGTTTTTATAGTCTTTTTGCACTGTTTACACATTACCATTGTTTGTTGAACATTTTGTACTTTTGTAACCAACCCACTTCCACGCTGCTGAAGTTGCTCCCGTCTTTGGAGCAGACCACACCACCGTGGAGTTGGTAGAAAATGTTACCTTCACTTATAGCCATGCTGGTTGTTGCAGTGTGTAACCTTATTGACGTCTCCACATTGTCATGATATGGATGTTTATATTAATATTAAACTTATACTGACACATCGTGAACCTTTAGGATAGGGCACGCTCCTACCCCTCAGATCTCTTTGATCTGCTTTCCATGGGATACCCAGTATAATCTGGATTATCTAGTTACACTTCATTTACTTAAAAGTTAGCTCAAGTGTGTATTTAGACCACAATGACTAAGCTGCCCTGTTGTAGCAGTTTTCTCATTGCAAAGAAACACAACAACATGTAGTTTTATGGAAGGAAATTATTGAGCTGGAAAAATGTTGGGAACTTGTTAATTAATCTATTTGGGGTGAAATGAGATTTTGGATTTGCTATGATTCTAATATGGTTGTTCTGTGGTCCTTCAGTTCACAGCTACCTTCAGCACTATATCTAGTTGGGAGTAAGCCATGCAATTCAGATGTTGTTATGAGGAAAAAACATTTAGAAGTTCATAACTTTAGGAACCGCAACTCATCCAGTTTTACACTTACAAACCTAAACCAGGTCAAAGGAGACTTAAGAAAAGATGTGGTGTTTGTTAAGGCACATCGCTGATGACTTTGCTGGTCATCATTGCTCATCTGTAGTGAGAGAGGACACTTGACCTTTCCTGTCAGTCTTCATATTGCACTGAAATGGATGGGGTAACCACTGTAGTTGTGGTTAGTCTGGAATTGTGGGAAGTGGAATTCATTGCATGTGTGCAAATGTTTGCATTTCAAACTCTTTCACAATCACAAGCGCCACACCTACACCATCACACATGGTGAGTATTATGCAAAGCAAATTTTCATAACAATGTGGTTGTGTGTGGAAGCACGCAATCACGCCAGCACGGACAAGACACTCAGGATTTGTTAGACATGCTTCTAAGGACAAATACCAGTTGCTTCTCTTTTTCTGCTGTTTGATCAGCTGTTGATCATACTATGATTTGTGGCTTGTCTGAGGAAAGTTTGAAACATCCCATGTTAACTACAGTGGTTTCCTCCAACTACACTTTTGATTGTTTTTATATGGTGGACATGACAGTGCAATAACTATTGCACTGTCATGTCCCTTAATTGCCATTATCCACCACGCAACACATTCACTATTTTTCAAGTATGAATAATTATTTCTTGTATTGATCAACAATAGATTCACAAATGGACTCCAAAAAATATACTTTTTTCTTCTTATGCTGGCATAGGTTTGCTGTTTGGATCACTTGTTTGTACTCATGACTCGCTCTTCTCACACTTGACCACATACACAGCTACCAAGCCATGTGACTAATCTCCAACTCCTTGTCTTGCTGCGGTTCAAACAGCAAACCAATCCGAACATCTGTCATCCTCCATACCTGCATGGGCAGACTGCTGTTGACTGTTTATTGTCTCTATCCACCCTAAAATTCCCCAGCCTCTGCAAGGAATGTTGCAGGGCAGCAACTCACTGTTTAACAGATAATCTGTTCTGTATCATAAAAACATTCGCTGAACTTGGAAAGGAGTTCAAGAGCCTTCATACTGCGTGTGCCTCTAAGTGAAACAATAAGTATCAGTGAAACGATATGACGATCCCAGGGACATTACAAAATGTGTATGCTGCGTATGTACATTTTATATGTGTGTGTGTGTGTGTGTGTATATATATATATATATGTGTGTGTGTATGTATGTATATGTCATATATGTGTATATATATACTTCTCTCAAAGGACGGCCAAAGCTTATGTGAGGTCACACTTGTGTTTTCAAAATGATTTTATTGCCTTTTAACCTGCAGTATTTAGCATGAGTGCATGCCACAGATAAAACATGGATGTAGTCTGTGTTTCTGAAGAGCGATTGTGAAGCTCATTGTGGTAGTCCCGTCCTTCGCCATCTTGGCAGTGCCCGAACTTGCCTAGCTCCCAGCTAATCCAAAAATGGGCAAAGATATGGAGCGTCAGTGGAACTAGCAGACATCTAGCGGCTAGCCACCTGTCACTCAAAGCGGCCACAGCCTTAATTATTCATAACTTTAAGCCTTATTATGATTTAAACAGGTAAGTTAAATAAAAACAGTTGTCAAATACAGGGAGAATAGCTACAGAGAATGAAAACCATTCCCCAACTTTTTCACATCAAGGACCCCTAAACTGACACAAATTAGATCAAAGACCCCCATTTGTCCCAGGGTGGTAGGATTTTTGGCTTTTAGATGTTTGTTCACATTAAGTGTATGAAACCTATGACCCAAGTAGACATACATTCTGTTTATTGTGTTACTTATGGATGGAATTAAAAGGAAAAACAATGATTCCCCTTTTTGCTGGTGACCATCTGGGTCCACCTAAAGACCGCTGTGGGTCCCTGGACCCCACTTTGAGAACCACTGCCCTAGAAGTTGCTGCTTGTTCCACCCCACAGTTTTACATTACTAAGATCATTACAGTTTAGTTATTAACTACATTGCTTATTTTGATCATTTCCATGACCCTGGGATCACAATTGTCAATCATAACAATATTGTTTACACTTTGTACAGCTAATTGTATACTTGGATAGTTTCCAAGCCCTTTGCCTTAGTGAAGAGGAAGTCTAGTTGTAATGCAGGAAATGAGAAAACCATCCACTGTGTCATGTATTTGTTTATTGAAACGTTTGAAAGAATACTGCCCAAGTAAGAAAGAATTGCATAAACAAATGGGTCACATAATATTTCATTATCATGGCCCACACTACTTTGCTGGACAGGTGTCACCCTTGTGTCAAAGTGGTTTGTTAGCATCCAGCCAACTGGTTGCCCTACTGTGCCAAGGCCGCTGTCAACACCATGAAAATCAATGCAGCCACTCAGATACAATATGATCTGTGCAGCCCACAGACATTGACACTGATTTGAAGCTGCTATAGTGTGGCCCTTCCCTGTGTGTTGTTAGGACTGTATGCATCGCATGGGAGAGACAGACCTCTGCACTGGCCTGTGTCAGAGCTATAATGGGAGTTGTGAAATCTGAATTGACACTCATTCTCTCTTCTTCTCTCCCTTTCTTTCTCTCTCCATCACACACAGCCTGTCCCCTCTCACTAACATGCTGTTACTACCTTGACTAATTCCTCCTACTGCATTTTTTGTGCACCCACACACAAACACTATGTTCACCCACTCTGGTTCAGGGGTGCTTGTATGAAAAGTGTGATTTTTTTTCTTCTTTTTTTTTTTTTTTTTTTAAAACACAAATTACACATCCTGATCCCAAGCTTTGTCTGCCCCAGATATGTTTGTATCTAATTGTTTTCATCTTGTTTGCCATAAACCTTGTGCAGTGAAGGCCATATCAAGTATGAAGTGCTGCTCTTGAAGACGTTGACCTGAAAGTATTCATCAAGAAAACCCTTGGCATTTTACTACATCTCATCTGGCCTCCCTCCACCCCTAGCTTAAACATCCACTTGTTATGACAGCGCTGTAGACTTTCTTATATCCACTGGACTCACCACCAGGATGCTGGGTATTGATCTATCTCAGTCCCTTTAGGATTTGGCATAACCGTTTACACATCCACACAATGAAGCACAGCTGCCTTGCAGATTAGCTAGCATTTTCCGGGGGTTCTTGTAACTGAATCAGGTCCAATCTCTTGGGTGGAACATCAGTGTTGCAGTGTTGCATGTCAGTATCCAAGCAGTATGGTTTTTGTGCTTACGTCATTTGTGGTGTACCACAAGATAAGTTTCCAGGCCCAGTTTTGTTTTTCAGAATCAGAATCAGTTTATTGCTCATGATGTGCTTACTCATACAAAAATACCATAACACAATAATAAAATAATAAAATAAAATCAGACACAATCTACAGTATAGACAACACTAATATACACACTATGAACAAAACAATATAGACATAGACAAATAGTGCAGTGATCAGAGTGCAAAGGATGCAAGAGTAATCTATTATTCTCATGTACATGTAGAAGGTGGATATGATATACAGGTACACATACATGCATGCGTGTACACATGTACACAGTGTGATGGAGCATAGTGCAAAGGATGCTGGGAAAAATAAATAAGACCTATGACCTTATGACCTGAGGTAGGTGTATTGGTATACAGTATATACAATGACATAGTATGAACAGCACTGAGATAGAGACTGGTGAATAAATAAATACTAAGTGGTAACCAGTAAACAGGTGGCTGATTAGAGACAGAGTTACTGGGTTTCGATCAATAATGATCAATAATGCACTTTCAGTCTGAAATTTGAAAACCAGTTGACACAGTCTCATAAGTGTTTTGTAGACATCAAGTGT